AGCAACGCAGCCGTGACTTCTTGAAGCCCAGTATTTGGGCACCTTGTTTCAGGCTGTGCAAAGGTGAAAGAGGCTAAGGAGGTAAAAAAAAAGGCTCCCTGAAGGGAAACCTTAAGAGTTGAAACCCACAAGCTTAGCCTGAACAGCCTCCACAGGGCACACGCAACTCCCCTTGCTCAACTTCGTTGGCTTCACTCTGAAGACACTTCACAGTGATCTCTCCTTTCACGCAGCGGCAGGGGCCAGAAGCAGCACTGCAGGCGATTGGCAAGTGCAGCAGGCTTTCCGCTTTGAGGGTTGCAGGATTGGGACACCGCTTTGGAAAGAATATGAGAACTGCTGGCCACCCGTCTTCCAGCTGCAGAAGGAATGGCGCTGCCCTAGCTCAGCTGGTCCTGGGCTGCTGCTCAGCGATGGACAGGGATGGAGAGCTGGTTTGCTGTGATTAACATGCCAGGAGAGCCAGTAGCCCTCTACCATCCCCAAAGCAAGCTAAAACTGCACCAGCGCAGGAAATCTTGCATTTCTTTGTGGGTAGATCCTGGTTCAGTTTGCTATATGCTGATTTTTAGTGGACCAGATCATGCAAGAAATACAGTTACTGGTGGAGTACAGCTGCCTTCTCAAAGTAGTGCCATGGGCTTCCCTGACAAGTTGTTACACTGAAAAGTTTGTTGAAGTTTTTTTATGATCTGACTTAAATCAAACCGAAGGGTAGCAGAGAAAGTCAGGAACTGTCCAATAACCATTTTCATTGCATTATATGAAGCACTGTGAATGAAAACATTTATTTTGGGGGATTGATATGACTAAGGTGCCTTTAGCCATAAAAAGACCTTTGCCTATTGAGAAGCTGTTCTGATGACAAATTTGCAATATAAACTGTGCATGCCTGAAGAAACTCTTTTAGAAAAATGAAATTTCATTTGAAACATTTCTGTAGTCTTCAAGAACCATTCAGTTAAACGCAGCTACTCACCCATTAACAAACAATACAATATATATTTCTAGTATTGATCACTGTCCTAGACGTGGATAGGCACTCTTGCCCATCAGATGCCACATGTGAATTTATCTGGAATTCACAGTTTTAAACTGATGAACTCTGTCAAAGTGGCCAGGTTGCCTTTCAATAGGTTATGAGTGCCTCAAACTCTCTTGCAGCTTTGCTAGTGATTAGGATCCAGCAGCAGTCGGAAAAGGGAACACACCTGTGTCTCCGTGGCTACCCCAGCAAGTCACATCCTAGCCACTCTGTATTAGCAGAGTGGATGGCACTGGCAGGCCCAGCACGCAAAGCATGGCAAACACCCCCCCCCTTCCCCACTGTGAGGTGATAGGGGCAGGGCAGCACCAGCTTCTTCAGCCACAGGACAGGGCTCCGATTTATGAGTGCCCTGAACATGCAGAGAAGTACCCATCCTGTTAAAAGATGCGCACCCAAGCCCAGGGCCAGCACCACTGGGTGCTGGCAGAGCCCACCCTCAGGAGCTGCTGCCTGCTCTGTGCCTGAGCTTGGGATGTTTGGGGAACTGGCTTTGCCGGCTGGCTTACCATGCGGCTGCCCCGTGGCACCCCAGGGCCAGCGCGGCTGCGAGGAGCAGCCAGCTCTGCTGACCAGAGCAACCACAGCTTCGAGGAGAGCTGCCACCACCCCATTGACCTGCGCAGGCTGCAACCCAGCTGCTCAACTGCCCTGACCGGGAGACAGCTTGGCAACTTTTTAATCAAACAGCCGTGGGAGTTCCTCCAGCCCGGGCCAGCGCTGGGCCGTGCCACGAGCAGCGCTGCTGCTGCAGGAGCAGGTGCAGAGCAGGCAGCAGTGGCTTCAGCCGGTGCTGCTGCTGGTACTTCACCGCAGTCTGGGTCCTTCTGCTCTGCTCAAAGGCACTGGCAAGGCCCAGGCACTGCAGACCCCGCGCGCCTCCTCAGTCTGGCACGGATCTGGACCACGGCTCTGGGCTTTCGAGCAAATTTGTAGATTATGGCACCGAATATCCGCAGCACCTACCAACCATATCCCAAGTGTTTCATACCCCAGTAGCTGTGGTTAGCACATCAAATCCGAAAACATTTTGAATTTGGTCTATTAAAAACTAGGGGCTTGTAATAATGCCTCAGACAAACCAATCTGCAGTTCCTGATGCCCACGTCAGAATATAGCCCATAGTGTAACTATAGGAAACCCTTGGATAGCTTTACTATCCTTTGAAAGCATCTTTCAAATCCAAAGATCAGCTTGGGTGGCCCTGACAAAACAAGCTGTAGGTACCAGGGGAATAACACACACAGCCAACTATCTTTTTTTATAAAAGTATTTTTAATAAACTGATGGATTTAAGTTTAAGATGCTAGACAACTTGTTGCCATGTACAGGTAACAAAAGTCAAAATTCTTTGAATTTTATACAAATACTATGTAGTACAGTAAACTTGAATACAAGTTTACAAAAAATGCATCAGTGAATATTCAGCTTGTAACCAACTTTCAACAGTGAAAATTATCATGTATCAATAGTGATCAGAATTGCATTGCAAACTTTAGAAGTAATGCAACTATGTTTTTACCAAGCGACTCTGAAGTTACTGGTGCACACTGACAGTACATTGGATTTTTTTGGCTTGCTGAATGGAAAATGGCATTTAAATAAAATGACTGTGAGTTAAAGAATATAATATGTATCAAAAGTACTATCTTACAGAAAATGAAACGAGAATGAGAAAGTAAACGGAGCAGAACCCTGAAGTAGTGATATTTTTCTACCCATTTTGATGGAAAAGACTCCACAGGTGTCCAGCTTTCTCACAGCATTTTGGAGTGTCCTAGTCCTAGCACAGTGCGGTCATTAGTAGACTAAAGTAATCCCTGCTTGGCAGTAATGCTGGTGAAAGGTAACTTGCTCTATTGCTAACAAATTGGAGTAACCACTGGCAGGGCGACTTCTCGGAGGCATCCAGTGGAGGCTGAGTTGACAGCGCGCGACTGAAGTTACAGTACCGCTTGCTTTGATACAATACCCAACAGCCTTCAGGGTTCAGGTGTCAGTTTCCTCACAGGATTTACGAATGGATGGTTTTGAAACAAAACAGAACAAACAAAAAACCACAAAAAACCCACCAAAAAAAAAAAGGAGCATAGGACAGTATTTTCACCTGTACAGCTACCGATAAAATGAATGGTTTTGTTACAAACTTTCCAGTCTGCTTTATAAAAAATAGTCTCAGTTTTACTTCTAAATAAAAACTGTGCTGTGATCTGTCACGTTCTTGCATTTACATGCTGCAGTTGTGTGTGTTAATGACGGTGTAGAGATTTGTGACCTAGCGCTCTGGATATATCAGAAGCCTAAAAAGCTGATTTTGGTACATAAAAGTTAGGTAGCAATGAAAATTCATTCTATTTATTTTTCCTAAAATCTAGGAAAAGCTACAGTACATTGCTAGATCAGTGGCCTCAACCCTGAGCTGAAATAAAGGACCTGCCTTGGCCAAGAGACTTAGTCATGTTACTACCACAGCTGCACAGCAGAGGCAAAATAACCTGTCCGTGGCCTGTTGTCTTAGCTGTAAGTAGTGTGAGATTCAGTTCTGTAATACTTGAGAGTTGACTGGAGACCACCATATTCATTTTCACTACAGGGAAAAAAAATAAAAAGAGAGAAGGGAAAACTCAAATTCAGAGATTCAAGTGAAAAAGCACTCAACAGAGACAGTCAGTATGTCCAGCTTCTGGAGACCAGACAAAGAAGGTAGGTAGTGGTAGACCTGTCAGTCTTAAGCGTTTCCCACTTGGTAGAAGAAATTATTAAAACACGTACCAAACTACAGTTAAAGAGACTTCTCCCATTATTCCCCTCTTTCCAGAAAGAGTCTCACTTGATTTTTTTCCCCCACCAGAACTGAGTCTCTCTCTCTCTCTCTCTCTCTCTCTGTACCCACACTGCATCACGGAAGATGAGTGAAAACCTAAAGACTGTCTGACAAAGGATTCGACCCAACTGCTAGCAGAGAAACTTCTGCTCTTTTCTAACATGGTTCGGAGTTGGCAATCATAAGAATTCTTACCACGATAGAGCCTACTGCACCTTCCTGTAGGGTTCAATGGCACCGACTACCCATGGCTAGGCGCATTCATAACGTGAAGCACTCTTGCCTCCTAAGAGGATTTTTTTTTTTCCTTTTAAACAGCAAAAACTGTAGAGTCAGTATTTCACCTAATGGAAAAACTAAACCCAGCCACAGACTGAAAATAAAGCTTGTAAGAATCATTTATACCTCTAGTAATGCACACTTCTTCGTGAGCTGATCAGTTTATGGATGGTATGTTATTTGTAAGTTTAAGGCAGCAAGTCTTTCAAAATACACGAGCTCACCTCCCTCATGTTTGTGCTACTGTATCCTTATATGCACAAGAGAACCTCACTAATTTACACTAATGACCGGAAGAACCATTAATCCTCTTGGTAAGTGAACAAGAATAAGGCATTCCATTATATATTCTGATCACGAATTATAATTTAGCTCTAATTATAATCTACCAGCAAACATACTTCTGTGTTTTAGAAAATAGTATCTCTTACCTCCAGATATAATTATGTGTGCAGATTAGTGGGTTCTGCTGTGTAAACACGCAGGTGCATAAGCAATTTTCAGGTTTTTCTTCATTACATCTGACAAGAAAGCTAATGCCACAGAGACTGTGGGAAAATAAATTAGGATTTCTCTATAATTTGTGCGGATATGCACAACTGGGCAGTAATTTATAGCTCAAAAAAAAGAAAAAAGACACAAATGTTTACAAACTCAAATGAAGCAAAATCAGCAGCAGAAAGCAAGGCCATTCCCCAACCATAAATGGCTTGTATTACACTATTCCAAACTATACAAAACAAAAAAGAACACAAGTTTATATACAAGTTTGAAATCAAGTAAAGCAAACAGGGAAAAATTTGTTGATGCTTCCAAAAGATGATTTTCATATGTCTAAATCCTGGTTGAAGTAGACTGTAAATACAGACAGAAGATGGGATGCAAACTACATGGCTGAGTTAAAACAACCAAAACAACAAACCAAAAGGGATCAATGTGCATCGTAATGAGATAGAAATTTCCCTTCATATGTGCAAAACCCCACAGTTTCATTAATGCAGAGGTCATACTTTTAGAAACAGATCTTAAACAAAACCAGTCTCCCTACATCCTGGAATCTACCTGTTTACATCAGCCACTTTAAGTGCACAGTACCCTGTTCACATCTGTAGTATTCAGCAGTTTCTGGCATTTCTCAGAAATTGAATGTTCACCTGCCTTAAATCTTGAAAACAAAGGGGAGAGTTCATCCAGGGCATCATACCACTGCTTTTGAGTTATACCAACAGTTAAATCAAACTCTCATTCTCTCTTCTTCCATGGTGGCAGGAGTCCTTACCGGACTTGTAAACAGCAGTACACAATACTGTAAACAAATAATTTACGTTCTGCTTTATACAAGATGTTAAAGTTAACCCAGGTCTACCAAACAGGTGAAAATGAAAAGGGTGGCTTCACACAAAATCCTTCCCTTTTCTCCCAGCAATTCTTTTCACTACATAAATAATCCTGAGCTGAAACAGGGGTTGATGAGAGCCTTTTTTGCATATAAAAACAATGTTCTAGAGTCAGCTCTCATGTTCTGTCAGGAAGTCAGTTGCTGGAGAGATTAAACTGTAGTATTTCAAACCATTTTTTACTTTGGAGGAGGACTTATAATTTGGTGTGGCGTCCAGTTCTAGACCCAGATGCTGAGCTTGCCAAGGAAGCTGATGCTGCTGCATCCTCAGCTTCCTCCAGCTCATCGTGTAGCTCCTGGCTAACGCTAGACTGGAGGGCTGCAGGAGTTAGCCACTCCTTCGGCAGACAGCTCTGGAGAAACGGTATACAAGAGCTGAAGTAGGCAAGGCGATTCACCCATCGTGGAATCTCTTTTCCACACAGAATCTAGGGGGGGGGAAGGGAAAAGAAAGGATTAATTTGTCATCTGGATTCAGCAGTAACAAAACTACAGTGCTGTAAATAAAACGCAAAGGCTGCAGCAGCCTTGAGACTTACATATCACAAACGCCAGTCAAGAAGCACTCAAGCGCTTCAAGACAACTTTCTCCATCAGTAAAAGCAGCATCTCAAGTCACAGAAGACGACTTGTTTTCCACTGTGAGGGTTTGACACATGGTTCTACGCTTTTTTTAGAAGGCCTGAAAAGCCTAACCACCTCACTGTTTTTGAGTAACTTCTATAAAAGGCACAGAAGGGTTAAGGTATGCTTTCCATTCACCACTAATTCCTCAGAAACAGAAACTGTAGGAGAAATCTATTACAAAAAAGCACCCTGAAATCAAGTGGTCAAAAAGACAGTGTCCATACTACGGTTATGTGGAGTTATGCATACAGCTGAGGCTATTTACTGCAACGGCCTCTGATGACTTTGCACAAGACGTCACTATCTTACAGCACACAGGCCAAGCACACACACTTAGGTTCACTGGAACAAGAGAAGCTATACAATGCAAAGCTGGTTTCAACTCCTCAAAAATACATAAAGCTGCATTAAATACTTGTTTTTACTGTACACCAGTCATTAAATGGTTTTGTCGTCACTATTCAAGGAGGGAGCTATTTTACTTAACTACCTCCATGTTCTCTTCTGGTATTACTTACTCCAGTGCAAATCTGGAGAAAATCATAGCTAATGGGAGCACTACTCTGCTGTAACTGTGCAGCATTTAACTTGTAATTATATCCCTGTTTTTATAATCAATTTAAACTAAATAGGACAAGACATAAGATATAAATAGCATGACCGTGCAGTTGAAGAGTATGGCAAAAACCTGGCCATATAGGCCATATTTCATGCCAACTGCAGCTTTGTCAATGTCTCACCCTACTTACTTGTACCAGCACTGCACATGAATCATCATCTCAATAAAATTTTCCAGGACCACTGGAAGATCAAACAGCCTACACAAAACACAGCCTATACAATAAGTGTTCCATTAACTATATTGAAAAAAGAACAATTAAATTTTATTGAAGTTCACCATGGAAAAAATAGCCATCACTTTTTTTGGAGTCCTTCAATGAAACAATAGAATAAATTGTGACAAGCACAGATTGCTAACTACTGATAAAAATCACGACTGCCATTCCCCTCTTTGTCCTGGGTTACTTGTTCCTGACCCTCTCGCTTGTGTTGATACACATATGTGAGTGATCAGGCTTTCCATTATATTGGCAAACCGATCATGCTAAAATAAAGCTGAGGGGAAAAAGCAAAGCCCATTCAACTCCACAGTCAGGTAGTTTGCACGACCACTCAGGTATCTACATGACCAGGACACAGGTGCTGGCAGAGCAATAACATGACAAAAGCCTCTCAAGCAGAAGATTGTCTGTGAAACTTCAATGCCTTTGTTATTCTTTAACAGTTGGTCATAACTTTAAAAATTATTTCCAGTGTGCTGTATCTTCAATAGTGATCTCTGAAGCATCTGAAATTATTTTGAAATCCTGTTAATACTTTATTTACTAGGTCTCACAATTGGGAATGCACCCCGGCTCAAACACAAACTATGTATGACAACAACATTTAGCATTTTCGGTAGCAAAATCTCTTGCTTTGGACATAAGCACGAATAAAACCTGACAAATGGTAACATTTGCCCAAGGTAACAGAGATAGGAAGCTGGAAATTCAGCCAAACATTCCAAAAGACAGGAAGGAGATGACGCTCTGTAGCCACCTGGGAAGCACCTTCCTATAGACCTTCACGTTTGTTTACCTCAGATAAAGCTGAAGAAAAGTGATTGCAGTTTTTGTGCATTAGGTGATAAGCATTTCCTTTGAATTCTTTTCCAAGCTCTTCTACTATTTTTTCTATGTCATCTTCCATAAAGTCAGTACTGCCTAGAACCACAGCCTCTCTAGAAGAGAAACAGAGAGTAGAAGTTGATGAGGCTGCCATGATAGGTGGATTACTGTTCATATATTGCTCAAAAATCACCCTGCTGTGAGTGGCAAGATCTTTCTGCCCTCCTAGAATAACACAGATTCTATTGCATTTTACAGCACCACTTTCATCTTTATCATGAAAGATTATTTCCCTGCCCATTGTCCATCTGTAGCTCACTTAAGTTCTTCACAACTTAACTCTGACAAACGCTGGATGCAATTTTCCTCTCATCTCCAAAGGGTATTGTTTCTAAGAGACAGCTGAGAACAGGTAAGAGCTTGTAACGCAGGGAAGGGTCAAGGCAATCACACTGACAAAGTGGAAAAAGAGACATGGGGAACCCTTGAAGAGCAACATTTTTCAGCTTTTCCTTTGAATAAAAATTTTACTACCTGGAAAAAGTTACCCTTTTGTATATGCTGTATGAATAACAAAAGCTAGCCACAAGCCCACATAATTTGTACACATTTAAAGAATATAATGATATGCTAAAAATAATGTTCTTCACTGTAGATACTTCACTGTCTCATCACCTCTGTCCATCTTTCATTTCTAAGTAAACACACTAATTTCTCAGAAAGTAAGAAATTGTGTAGCATCATACAACACCTCTATCCTCAAAATTAAATGCAACAAGTTGTCTTTTTGATATGCCTTCTGAAAAGCAAGAAAATGGGTATCCTCCTTACTTAAATTTAAATGTTTCTCCTAGCTCAGAAGCATTTCCTGGTGAAATTTCAAATATTCCAGAAAAAGGGTACGGATGACCACCATAGGCAAATTCTGAAAGAGAAAGGTCAGTTTTAACAAAAACAGCATACAAAGACAGTAAAGAACAGCAGACCTCACTGACTGGAAGATCACTTCACACAGATCTAAAGCTAAAAACCAGACATCTTATTTGCATGGGTAACATGCAAGGAGCTGGAAATGAATAGTTTTGTTGGTTACTCGTCAACCTAAGTAAAAACTGGAATTTCTTACATCAGCATACAGATTTAACTTGAGTAACTTTACAGTAAGTATATATTGTTTTCATTCTTTAAGTGAGGATTTACAAGTTAAATTGTAAATCCTACCAATGTTCTCTATACATGCTTGTCTTTAAAAGTCCATTTACATATTTACAGATCAGGGATACAAAGTACTACATCCTCAAAGGTCTGATGGTGCTTCTACTCAGTGTGCGCTAGAGCTGTAAGCGTGGCAGTGAGTAGTGGCCTAATGATTTTGTTTTTTAATTTCTTGATTTGCAAGAGTTCAACTGCCCCAAGTCCTTTACTATAACGAGAAAGTAAACCAGTGCATGCATCTGAAGTCTGCACGTAGCATCTGCTGGCATAAGCGCTTGCAGCAGATGAAAATATCATGGTGCGCTTTAGCTTCCTTCTGTGTCCGTAAGATAACACAGCACGACACACCCAGGGTGCAATAAAAAGCTTTAAGCATGACTTCAGGCTTCCTTTCCTCAAAATTCGTAACACATCATCCAAGTCTAGCATTCAGTTTTGTGGATAATCTTTTTTACAACAGGTTAATAAATAAAGTTTTATGTACTTTGAAAAATGCAAGTCATTGTTCTAGCAGGCATATGACCTGCTATACCAGAAAGCTGTTCTAATCTGAACAGGAAGGGAGGCACATGCATTTGGCACACCTCAAGAACTGGGTTTTGGGCACAGCACTATTGAGTCAGGTCTTTCTGGTTTGGTTTAAAAGAAATCCAAAAAAGTTTTAACAAGAAGCATTGCATTTTGTCAATTCGTTGCTTTGATAACACTTGCAAACCCAGTTACAACGTGACCATTACAGTAGCTGAAACATTTCTAGTTTAAGATGGCTTTGCACAATGTGGTCTCTGGATCGCATGCCACACCTTTTGCTGCTTTCCCTCACCTCCAGACACATTTCAATAAAAGAACTGAAGTAGATTTTTCTTCTTTAAATGGACTATTTTTAGCAGCACCATCACCTCAGAGCGTCCGTATACTGCTAGGCAGGAACACCTCAGACCTGAGCCTGTGCTACAGCATGCTCAGAAACACCTCTGGCAGCAACGGGGATTCAAAGTGGCCTGAACAAGTCAGGAAGCTGCAACCCCAAAGTGCAACCTGTTCAGCAAAACCGGTATGTATTACTGTATTTATCACAAGTGTATCTTTGGTAAACAGTATGCACGAGATTCCTTTTAAAGAAACTGTCTCTTTAAAACAAACCAACCTACCAATACAGAATAGACAGTTTTTTTCCTAAGCATCATGCACTTTTAGGTGGCCATCTGCAATAGACTACTGTTTCTGTAAGTAAAAATTACCTCCTTGCACTAATTGCTGGCAGAACACTAAGGAAACACAATTCAACCATGCTTACATGAAGCTTACATTTGTTTTATTTTAGTTTTTGAAATACCTATTGTTAAAGATTTCTAAGCCTAGCTGAATAAACAGCACTTTTTCATAGCTGCACAGATTTATACAAGAATGCAAGATGACTACTGGATTATTTGTATCCGAGTTTTTTTTCCAGAGGCAGAAGAGATAGGAACTTTAAGAGAAAACTGATGAACAGGTTTCAGGAGCCAGGCTTCCCTCACTACCTGAAAAATGTTTTTTAAATAATAGCATTAGCAGAACAAAAAGTAAATTATGTTTTTCTTGTACATACCTCGGCCATACACCTCTATACCTGAATGGAACACTCCAATTCCAAGGGAAGATGTATATTCATTCATCCAATACTAAAATGAAAGAAGAAAACAAAAGAGACTCTAATGAGTTTCCAATACAGATTTGTCTTCTCATAGCAGACTGACAGGTATTTGTCCCCCACATCAAAAGCAGAAACCACTACCACAAAGTGAAACTGCACAACCCGTTTTGTGGGAACAGAACATGCTGGCAAAGTTCCCCAACTGTACCCAGTGAATTAATTCCATTAGGTTCTACTCCAGTGTTTTAGTGCTGTCAGTACCTGTCAACCAAGGAGACTGTACCTGGGAGAAATCCAGATTGACTTTTGACTGTCAACAAGTTACAGGTTGTAAAGTTTTTTGTTAGGTGGAATACATTCCAGGATCAACTGCAGTAATTTTGTGGGGGCTTTTCTTTTAAGTAACATCTGAATGTAGGACTGTAATAGACACACACCAACCGTCATTTATAGCAATGACCACGCTCTTGCTTATGACCAGATGAGCACAAGACACACTCAGAGAGATGCAAGATGGACTGAAATCACTGTAGTATATTTAGTCTTTGAATACTCAATGGGCAGTCACCATACAAGAGACTAAGCTCTCTCCAGATTCCTGATGTATATGTCTCTATACATCAGGTGTAAATCTTTTGCATAGGTCTAACATCTGTTTCCAATGCACCACCTCTATTGTAGCCAACAGGTAATAGCTGCATTTCAAAAGGACACCAGGATGTGATAACTAAAAAAAAAAAAAAAAAAAAAGGAAAGGAAAGAAGAACACCTTCCCTTAGTGCTTTCTCTTTTCTTTTCCAAAAGCAGCAGCAAGTGCCTATCAGGAGCTAACAATTGCCCTCAAGACCTTAAAGATGCACAGAGTTCTAGAAAGGGAAACCTCAAAATTACTGTCTTTCCCTGGCTTACATCACCACCCTCAAAATATCAGTCTCCAAGCTGTAAAAATCTTCCAAGTGACACATAATTTAGAAAGAACCTCAAACAAAGGGGGAAGGAAAAAAAAAAAAAAAAAAAAAAAAAAGCTGCGTCCTTAAAACTGAAATTGGCTAACAAGAAAAACCTCTTGAAAATACAAGGAGAACATTATTTTGTCAATTACTCCAGTAGTGGGATTTTTCCTCCAAGGTCATCTGGTCCCAAAGGGCACCACCGCGAGCCTCCAGCAGGCAGGATACAGACTGAGGTAGTACCCCCAACAAATTAGTATTTGTTTAGCAAACAGGAGGAAAAAGAAGAGATCTTCTTTACACAACCTGTTGACATAATAAGTGCTTTCTGATGTGAAGACACTATTAAACCAGCACAACCGGTGATAAAAATGTAAAAGGTTACAGGTGTCACGCTTTGTTAAGATGTGCTAGCTGGAGTAAGTACATAATTTACAGGGCCATTACAAACATGATGGCATATAACATGCATTTCTGAAAGCCATTTTCTCCCAATAAAAATGATATACTAAACTTTGGACTGAGAAGCTATTTATGAAAATCAAAACAAGTTAAACGGCAAAAAGAGCAAGTCAGGCCAAGAGTTACAAATTTTCAGGCACTGGTTATGTATGCATTTGGCTTTTACAGTCATCCTTATTCTTCATATCATCAAACCTAAAATAAATGGTCCCTCAAATTCAGTTACAAGCAGTTGCCAAACATCAGCGCATCATCTTTCCAGCTGAAAATTCACAATTGTGCTAGCAGACACAGGACATGAATGACTATCTGGATAACGAGATGCTGCAGATTTCATGTTCTTTAGACAAGCCAGTTGTGGAAAATTTTGTCAACATGAATTAAGAGAAGACAGATTTTGCTCCTTATACTTATTTAAAGCTAAGTAAGGAGCATTGAGATGTGTGGAAAAAATTTGCTTAAGACTAAACTACACACTTTGCTTTAATTTCTGGCTTTGTTAATGCATTGCAGTATTAGCTAATGGGGTATGCATGATTATACTAAACTAACACCTTAGTCTATTTAAAGGTCTTTCCTTCCTCCCCCCAGAAAAGAGCAGAGCTAGTCCATATGTATCTAGCCAGACTTTTCAGATCAAACAATGCCCAGAAATCTGCTAGGTTAGATTTAGTCCATACAGAAAGACATAGAACAGGGAAAAAAGCTAGGAGAGAGGAAGGAAGGAGAATGATGTTATGACTACCCAACCAACTTAGTGGGTTTGTGAGCATTAAAAAACGGATTCTGTTCATTAAAGTGAAATCAAAGCCCCCAGAAAAATGGATGAGGTACTTAAGCATAAACCTGTTTCAGTTCTGAAGCCAGTCCTACCCCACACTTTACCAGCTGACCATTTAAAAATAGTTTTAGGTTTATAGTCAAAATCGTAGGCACATTCAACATACAGTTTGTCAGTGCAGGAAGAGAGTACATTTGCCTAATGAGAAGGTGTATCCAAATGAACCTAATCTAGAACTGAGCTAGACAGGGCCCCTGATACTCTAGCCTTTCCTTTCCTGGACACCCATTCTGCCAGAAAACTCTGGGTCCGGCCTCTGAATTTCAAATAACCTATGCATCACATATGCATTGGATCTGTTAATGCCAAGCAAGGTTATCACTGCTCTCTGACAACAGAGCAAAAGTAACACAAGATATCCCATAAGCAGCAGAAGTAATAAAGCCTAGTTTGTCACTAGGAAGAGAAAAATTCTTCATGCTCCTGTCCTCCCACAACCCAGTGAAACCTAATGCAAGGTATAGGGAGAGGACAGAAAAGCGGATCACCAACACTCCTCATCGATCCCTACAGAAGTAGACAAACGGGATGGAAAACTGCTCTAACAAGGTGTTCGGCAACTCCAGTGCTTTTCAAATATGCACACCTCCTTACTGGTGCCACCTAAATACACAGGGCTCACTAGACTACAAAAACTGAGCAGTGGTGGCAAATTAAACAAACGCTAGCAGCTTTGGAAGAAGTGCCTAAAGCAAGCTGGCACTTTGCTTAATATTTCCAGTAAGAATAGAGTAGGTTAATTGAAGATAAAAGAATTTCAATAAGGCAGAATTACTTTCCCCCTAGGAACAGTAATTTTATCTGATTATTACTTAATCTGGATCAGCTATTGGAAGGTTTGTCACATTTCCTCATTGAACAAAATGTCTTATCTCACTGAAGAAAGAAATGCAGGACAAATGCAACTTAAAGTACACTGAATTTGGCTACAGCTGAAATGATTATATACAACTTACACAATAAAGATTGTAAATTAAATTACATATATATATGTGTATATATATATATAGTTTTATATATATATATATAAAAAAAACTATCTATCTATCTAGCTGGTTCAGTAACATGCTGTAAGTTCTGGAATCCCAAACTGATCCCAAAAGCTACATTCCATTACACAAACTAGATTCCCTTCATTTAGTCTGATATGAATTTTGCATAGTAGAATGTATAGAAGAAGCACAATCCCATATCCTCAATATTTTGCAATAAGTCTTGTAAAACAGGAGTTCATGTTTAATGCAACTACCAGAACAAACCTATTAGAGAAGTATTTTCTATGTGCACAATAAAGTCATGTCACTGAAATGAAAGACGAACACTAATCCCAGTGCTTCAAAAGTATCTTCATTACTTTCTTCAGAGCTTTCATTTACGTTAATACTTTAGATTGTTATAGCCTTATTTGACAAGGGAAAAAATAGGATGCTACTTCGGGCACAAAAAAGCTAGACTCCTAAAAATAGCAGTTAGGTAAAATTAAACTATAAAGTAGTCCAGTTCTCAAAACTCAATACATTTCAAAGGCATGAACAGCAGCACGTAAATATGCCCTTAAACTTCTCTCCCTCTGTGCAGTTTCCAGTACTTGAAAGTCCGCTTTCTTGTACGGCACACCCTCCTCCTGCTTTGGTTTTATCAAAAAGATTTTTGCTTTCTCAAGCACTAAGGACAATGGAAGGGTATACGCTCCAAAACCAACCGACTCAGTCCTGTAAGGAGTTTCAACAGTAGCAAGGTCACCTAGCATTCCCCTGCGCGCCTGAACAGCTGCCTGGGAAAGGAAGCTACAGTTAGCACTCAGGTTAAAATAAAGCTGTTCATATGACTGCTGCAATTAAAATAGTGTTGATTCTGTCAACCAGGTGACTAACCTCTTGTTCCAGAAGAGAAACAAAAAAACCCAATCCCAAACCTCAACTACAAAAAGCCCCAAACCCACCTCCCAGTGACATAGAATTTCAGAAGCAAACAGTAAACTTGCTAGCGCCTCAATACACAGTTGGCAGGATTTGATGAATAGACAGAACTTCAAAAGAGCTAGTACGAAAGACTCTTCCCTTCTCTCCCCCTCCCTTAGTGCCCCCAAACCACACAGTATCATTGATTTCAGCAGGCTCTCTACATGCAGTAATGTAACTGCTACGCAACCTGAAAGCAAGGCTTTAGTTTAAGCTCCTGCTTCAAACAAGTTTAAAATGGACTGAGACATCATTTAGCAAACGAGTCCGAGGCAGGATGTATATTGACAGTGTCTTTCAGACACCGTGGGAACCTCGTTTTTTCTTTCCAGTTTAAAGGAAATCTGTTTCTCTAATGGTCAAGTAATGTAGACATCATTATAAAACAGCAAACACAGCTGAAGTAGGATATAGAAATATTCTACTTAGAGGGCTCTGCTTACACCCTGTATAATTTGCGGTGATGTACAGCCTCAACGAACACCATAACTGCAGACCAACGCACAAAAAGCCACCCCTACATGTGATCAAACATCTGCAAATAAATGTGCTTGCTCGTTTCTTTTGGAGAGTAAGTTTCTTCCACAGATTGTGGCTTTGGAGACTATGCTACTTTTTGATGTAGGCAGAGCCCCATTAATCACAACAGGACAACCATCAGTCCCCAACATGTCCTAAGGAAAAGTGTGACAGTCGTTTTTTGGAGCACAACCTTCCTGTTGCTTTTTTTTTTTCCCCCTTCCCTCCTGTCAACTGTCAGCCTTCCTAGGATGGCTGGAGTAAAACTGATCACAGCAGTTCATCTCTGGAGGAAAAGGAAAGGAGGATAAGGGCTGCAGCAAAGAAATCTAAGGAGTAAGAGGTGAAGGAGAACCATGTGAATGAGAGTCAGCTATCACAAGAGAAAAAGAAAAGGCATGCTGAAGTCACACCCCACCAATGCTATCATCATGGCGAGAGCAGAGTTTCTCACAAAGGCCACGGCATTACTTTCCAGGCAGGCACTTACACAGGAGACAGTCCATTCTGTGAAGCTTTCACAGCCCGCCTGTAAACTGGGCCCAGGCGACACTTTGCACAGCTAAGCAAGTCTTTGTGAGAACACTGGGTCTTCCATCTTAGCCAGTCAGAATTGCATCAAGCCTTGACTTCAAAGATACCATCTTACGAGACAGTCCTGAAACTGAAGTCCTACTTCTTTCTCTGTGCCAATATTTATAGTTAATATATGTAAAACCATCTCTTTCATGCTAAAAGAGCTTCTCCAAAGTATATTTTTGAACTGTAGTCCAAAGAAGTCATAAATATGCACGCAACCGAGCGTCCTTTCCTCCTTAAGTCTAGTATAAATAAGGCACACTGACTTCTTGTTGTATCAGCATCACGTATGAGCTCAATCAGGTGAGCAAAGACCCACTTCTCCCCCCCCCCAGAAAAATCACATTGAATAGACTGCTCCTAACTCTAGTCTCCCCCATTCTCTACACTGAAGGAAAAGCAAAGTAGAAGTAACAAATTTGCTGGAGACAGAACTTGGACACAGGAGGAGGCAAAAAAAAAAAAAAAAAAAGAAAAAAGAAATCCTTTGACAGGGACATTGATTTCTATGATAAGTATTAGGGTGAAAGAAAATAATGACAAGGATCAGGCAAGTTCATATAATCTGATATATAATTTTCATTTCAAGGCAGATAGCTCTCTATTGATTGCTATTAAATATTCTAGCATTAGAGCCCGAGCATTCCCAAGCAAACGAGCTGCATTTTCTCTCTGCCAGCAGTCACTGACTCTATACTATACACCTTCACCCTTTTAAAACATCAAAAGTTCACTGTGAAATGGTGGTGGTGGTAGGAAAGCCTATCCAAAATAAGCTAAGTAACGCAGGCAATGTTACCTGAAGCTAGTTGTCAATCTCACTGTCCCACTATCAGTAGACTCAAGACATGGCCAGAGCACTAGTGCTACTTGTTCTAATTTCCAGCGATTGAAACGCATTAACGGATAATATTTTCTTAATATTACTTATCCGCACCTCCTGTTCTATGCAGGTACTTACACCTCATTTGTTACCATGGCATTTGAGCAGCTTCCAGCTGAACATGAGACAATACAACAGTTGCTGTAGGTGTCACAGAAAGATTACCCAGGAGGGAAGGTGAGCTCATAGGACTGCAAATCGAGATGGACCAATTCCCTTATTTCTACCAAGTTGCAGCCATATTAAAACTGTTGACAAATTCTAGAAAGTCTAGGAAAAGAAAAAAACACTACTGACACAGTGCTAAAAACCCCCTCTTATCCCTACAGAGACAGTGGTTATCCTCAGCTACTACTCTGCTGGAAAACCAGCCATTTCTACGGTGTTCAGGAGCAGGAAAGGCAGGGCCTCCCCCCTCGCTGAGCCCCGGGGCAAGAGCAGAGGAAGGCGAAGAGCTCCGGGACGCTCAGGTCTCGCTGCTCGTTCGCAGCCGGGGCAGGGGAAGGGTTTCCCCCGCGACAGGGATCCGCTGTACCCGCCGCTGAGCGGCCCGGCCCCACAGCAAACTTTGGCTGCAGGTGACCGAAGAGCTTCGGAAACGGGCAAACCTACCGGGTTATCGCCCCCCGCCCTGGGCTCGTCGTTTCTCCTGCTCCACCGCCCCCACGGGCGGGAACCCACGGAGCCAACTCAGGCGGGGGCAGGCAGGGGAAGGGCAGGGAAAGTTTCCCCGCTGCCTCGTCTCGTCTTCCCCCCCATCCCCCGCCCCAAGGACGCTCCGCGCCA